TTAAAATACGACAGTACGAAAACAGACCGTCTCCACCGGAAACAGTTATTACTTTCTCAAGAGCGAGGCATTGTTAGTCTCACTTCTTTCTGCCACAGAAAGAGATTTCATTTGTCCTCTTTCCACAGCGGGCAGCCTAGGGGGAGAAAGATGTCTAAAGAACTAGTTTTGTTTTCATTATCTTTATGTAACGCTGGATGATTCAAATAGAGTTAATGCTGTATTCCTTAATTTCTTTAAGGTTTTTTAACTATATTGCTGTTAATTTGCACTAACTATACATTTACGAGAAATTTAAACTGTTATCAATACAAAATTGAAATAAAATAACTTTCTGCGTGATCTATTAAAAGATCATTTAATAACCGAAACCTCGTCATTTGCTTCTTTTTTAAAGGCACTGCATCTTCTTACAACCGAAATTAATCCCTCTCGAAGCTAGAAATGAATAAATTGTTGACAGAAAATCTGAGAGCTCTATAAAATATGAGTAGTTTTAAGCATTCTATTGCAAGAAATAAATTTCTCCAACATTGAAATACAAATTTGTTGTACAAATTTATTACTATCTTAGCTAGTCAGAGGTACCACACTTAATCATTTTGAAATTTATAAGCTAAATAATGTTAGAGGCATCTATAAAACCAGACAATATTCAATGTTTTTACGTGACCTGTTTTTTTTAAACAAACGCATAAAATCGAGCTGCTGTGATCGTTTCTAATGCTTATATTCTGAGAACTCATTTGAAAGGCATTATAAGAAAAACTCACATGCCAAGCACAAAAGTAAGCAGAAATCTGAACTAAAGGATTTATAATGATACTGTTCCGAATTTTGTACATAGATGATTTTAATACGGTTATATGCAAAATTGTTGTATTTTTCTGTGTAATGTAATATGAAAATCTAGACAGACGATGCTATGCCAGAAAAATACGAATACGGGGATAAGTCTATTTAGCATTGAATAAATGGCTATCTCGCTAAGTTCGTGAGACATTGGAATGCTGGCATTAGCTTTAGAAACTAAATTTTGCCGTCAAATTTGGCGAAAATTATCAAAAGTCGCCGAATTTGGCCACTGTTTAACGACATTTTGGTCTTTGCATAACTGTAATGAATACTCTAACTGAATCATGTAGGACCAACGATTTCACAGAAGCCCCATAAAGATATGACAGTTGTGTCAGGATAGGCACCCGCATGTAGACATTTAGCAAGTCCAGAAAATCCACGGCAGTTAATTTTTCAGGCAGAGTCCTCCTATCTTTACTTTATCTAACACAAGTTTCTGTCTATTCTAACAGCGATTCTTAACAGTCTTTTTTTGATTGCTTCTTTGCTTAATTTTAAGTAGTTCCTAACAGGATACTCTTTCCCCGTACAACAACATCCAAGCTTATATGTAGACTTTATGAGGCTCTTAGCCGTCTATTCGGCTGCGTTCCCGGAGCAGGATGGAGAGAGAGTAGATGGTTTCTGCCAGGAAGATAACACACTGTGAGGCTAAGGCCAGGTCAGTGGTCTTCCTTGGTGGCGCTCACTCACACACTCTAACTGAATAACTGTAATTGATTTTATATGTAACTGTAACCGTAATTCAGCCCTCATATGCCTTCCAGTAATTTCGAAAAGCAAAAGGTACTAAAAATATCTCGGCTGCCAGCTGAAAACTATATAAGACCGGAGAGAGCATCTGCTGTCAGTTGCTAATTGTTAGTTTAGCGGGATTTCGGAGTACTGAGATATCTCTGGGTTAGCTTCGCTCTTTAGATACACTTCGCATTGCGTTGTGTTTAATATTCTTTGTAGCTGTGTGCATTCATTCTATTACGAACCCTACGCACGCAACAATACATTAGAATATCGATTTTTAGGAAGTCAAAAAATATACGTTTTTTAAAATCGATAGAGTTTTTAATAGACAATCGGCATTCTGTGACTGAACTTTTGCCTAATTTTAATTGCGAGAAGCATTTATGAGAAGGATGTTGTGCCTTTAACAGGAATATAAATCGTTTACTGAAGAACTGAAAAAGATACTAGAAACGTTGTTAACTGAGGATTTTTCTTCTTTTATATAACTCATCGTAACAAAGAAAAAATCCAAACTTAGTGCCAAAACTAAAACAGTACATAAGTAGAAGTAATGTAGAACAGTGAAAAATCGGGATTCAAAACGTCACACTAAAATGAGAAGACAGGCAAAGATGTTTCTGTGATTTTATTCATAGGAACAGCCGCTAAAGATTGTGCCTCCTTCACACTTTTGATTGATAGTGAACTTTTTCAAACCTCCGGAAAAGGAAATTAACAAAAACGCTCTCTTACTTGACGAGTCGCGCTCAGCAGAAGAAAGCCGGGAAAAATATTGTTGTTAAATAAAGAGTGACAGTTGTAAATAAAGTTTCAAAATTTGCTTGTGTTCCCGTATATCACGTTTGGATTATTTTTAAAGAGGTAAGAGTTTTTAATTCTATTCCAATTTTTGTGTGTAAACAGTTTCAGGTATTCGGATGATAGGCAGACTTACTATGTATCCCTTTTACAGTTTCATGGGTAAAACTAGAGAGTACGGGCCAGTTTGACGTGTTTCAGAAAAATCGCCAATTCGCCCCATGTTTACGCTTAAAAATTGCCATATTAGACGTTTGCGATAAGTAAAATCCAAACGCTCCACTCTTTCAACCACAGCTATTTTAATCACAGAATTATCCACGAGAAGCTCAGTGAATAAACGGTAACTCTAAACTCTAACGGGTTTACAGCTTGGCTTAATTTCAATAAAAATGAAACTTTGATAGATTTGACGAAGTTTTGCAACACTTGGCGACTGACTCATAATCTCCAGTCTAGCCGTTTCATGTGATAGGAGGTACTCAAGAAAACCGCCCTATACAGGATGTCACAAAAAGCCCCTGCGGAAATTAACATACTGGTCTGTCATCCCATGACAAACAAGATTTACACAGGAACTTGTGCCCGAAAACGCGAACGACGAGCGCTAGAGGGCAGTGTTCACAAACGTAGAGAAGAAGAAAGAAAGGATGTGGAAAGAGGTGTTAATATGACTTTCATCAAAGAACATGGTTAAATAACACAACGCGTTAAAAGTTCCTTCCATTTGCCACAATGCATGATTCACAGCATCAGCGGATGGATTCACGGAACCTTTAAAAATGTTCAAAATGGGTAGGTGTGTCATGGACATGTGCTGCCACTTCCACGAGCCTGGCGAAGAGATCCATGATCCATGCCCGGCGTTCCTTTCGTCTTGCACACCATGAACTTCATGTATCCCCACAGGTAGAAATCAAGGGCAGTCAGTTCGAAGGATTGCGGGATGTGACTGGTCCGCCTTTGCCATTCCAGTGCTTAGGATATGTCCTATCGAGGTATATCCATACAATGCTGATAAAATGTGCAGGCGCTTCATCATGATAAAACCAGATATTTTGGTGTGTAGCTGCTGGAATGTCAACCATCAGATCCGGCAGCACTCTTTCCACAAAATGTCCATAAAAACTTAGTAAACCGATTCGTCCTTCTCTTGCAACATCCTTGCCTGAAATTATCACACTTCCCACTCTCTCGTAAGCGTGCAGTCATTCTCCTCTAGCCAGAGCCAGATTTAAACTTGATAAGGCCCTAAGCTATTTGAGATATGGGGCTCTTTACAAGTTTATTATAATATATTTTAATACTATTTGTACTATATTTATATTTTTTTCGGGAGGGGGGGGCAAGAAAGTGTATAGCTACGTAAATCCGGCTCTGCCTCTAGCGGTCGTCATTCGCATTTTCGGATACAAATTCCTAAGTATACCTTGTTTGTCATGGTATGACAGAGTAGCACGTTAGGTTTGGCAACGATCTTCTGAGACATCCTGTATAGCAGCTATTCACTACTTTTTCATCTGCGATTCATTATTACAATATCAAATAAACTTGCAATTTGTAGCTTTAACGAGAACGCTCATCTAAGAATCCTTTACTTAAAGTTTATTAAATATAACAGTTCCTGAAAAATGCTCCGTAACAGACATATCATTATATTAAAGATACAGTAATGCTATAGCGCGGTTTTTATATTAGAAGTACATGCAACTTCTACCCAAGATGTTCCGTATCCTCTTTTTAATGCATATTTTAAATGCCAAGCAAACGATTCGAAGGCAACGTATTCTGTACTGTTTAGGATGAATATAATGCACTACCATATGAGCTACAGTAAGTGTTTAATGGTCTTACCTAATTGCCCAACAATACCTTATCTCTTTTTTTGTCTTAGAAATAAATATTTCATGCTTATTTACAGTTGAATATATATGAACTAGGATCATTTAATGTTTATCCATCGGAGCACCTTTTCTTTTCAACCAGTAAATTTTTAATATGAATCCAGGGGCACGGAAAACGATTGTACAACCGCTGAAAGTTTTACTGTTACATATCGTTGTTACTTTCTCAACCGTATAGCCGAAAAGTTCCCATACACAAAATAATGTAAGGAGAAATAACGCAGCTCACTTTAATAGCTTACCGATTAGACTTAGTTGATTAACGCAATAATGCTATAACAGATCTTATCTGATTAATGCAATAATGATTGTTTATTGCTATCACATCCACTTGAACATAATTCATTTTGTCGCTTCTGTATGATACTTTTAACTATAAGGTGTCGCAATATCTCGTACAATATTCTGATTTTTTTTATTTGTCATCTTACAAGGAATAATCGTTCGCGTTGTATATAATGGTGAGCACTATAAAGTTTAAAATTAATACAATTAAGTTTAATAAAACTTTAATTTAGATGTATTACTTTACTTAAATTTAAATAAATGTATGTAAATTAATACATGTAAACTAAATTAATATATGCATGAGTCCAAATTTGTCATCATTACTGTTCATGGTATTGCAATTTTTTGAATAGCAGTGTCTTATACTTCTAGGGAAAGGATAGAATTTTTAATCAAATAGTTTCTTACTTCTTTGTCATTTTTGAACCATTTCAGTGTTGCTTGTGGATTACCCCCTTTAGATGCGCAGACAAATTTCTGTAAGTCTCCGGCTTTGATGGATCTACTGTCATTATATCCAGAAATAACGGGAGCTGATGGTGGATCTGGAAGAAAGAAAGCAGTATTAGCGACCACTGATGCATGTTAAACTTAATGAATTATCCAATGATTTCGTTTCTCTTGCTCACCTATTTATCACAATTTTTATTTTCAGAATTTACGGTAAAATCCCCAGCATTCATGATGGCTACATTTTAAACGAAACGTTTGTTAACACGTTTTGAACCGAAAATGATATTTGTAATTAAAGCCACATTACAGTCCGGCCTCAGCTGAGAACCTCCGTATTAGGCGGGAATGAGTTTGCGAACTTCAATAAAACGTAAGAAATTATCAACAATCGTCATGAAGTAATTCTCACCCAGCTCTGTAGTTCGGCGTAATTGAATTGCATACATCTGTGTCTATTGTAGAGACTGACTTTTGTCTCTCTGCGCCTTGGCCATTTTCCTACTAGTCTAGCACTATATTTGGCATAAGCACAAACTTTGCAGAATGCTTTCTGTTTGGAAGTCCCAATTTTTTAGTATAGGACAGGAAATATGACCCATCCTATGATACCACAAATTAATATCACTCTCTTCTGTTAGTAAAAATACATCATAATCAGGCACAAAATGACTGGTAGCTACGGTTGTCACGATAGTCGAAACCTCTGTCACTGTTTCGTAAAACACGTTTTGATGCTTGAAATTCCCACTGAAACCTGCGGCTGAAATATTTCGCAATTAAAGTTATTAATCTTTCATGTCTGATGCAAAAAGTACGTTTTTAAGAGTTATTTGAATACCACTGGATGTGTTACCAGAACTATAATCCCTACTTAGATGAACGCTATGCACATCTCCCATTTTCGGATTTGGAAGTTAATGAAGAAAATCATTTTGCTCTCGAGTCAATATTAAGCTTATTGACATTAGACTACATGTCGTAAACAAAATCGATGGCGAAGCTTGGGATTCTAACCGTTTAGTTTCAATTTATAAAAGTGTTTCTGATGTTCCGATTTCCTACACGGAAAGCATAAAATTTTCTTCTTAATCTCTTTTGCAATATCTCCTCTCTCTTTTTACAGCGAAAGCAGATAAATTCCTTTTGATTGGTAGAAAATGCAACATTATCTTTCGCAACACACTGAGAGTTCTTAACATTTGCATTATTGTTAAGGGTTTCAACGTCTGTAGGTCGCGTAATAAAGACTCTAGGGTTAAATTCACAATTAATTTTTTGATGATCCACAACATTAACACTTCCAAAGTCTGGTGGAGACATTGGAATATAAACTATTGTATCCATATCAATTAGTTCCGCAACAGATAGCTGTAAATCCGCTACTATTTGTTTCTTTTCATCGAGATGCTGCCTCATCGAGACTTCACAAGTCTTCTTTATGGTCTAAAGAAGCAGTGAATCAAATCTTTACTGAAGACTTGTGAAGACTTCACAAGTCTTCACTAAGGATTTGGTTCCAGGACTGCTACACCTTCACAACTCTAATGTAAACTGCATGCTGCATTAGAACCCAGTTTCACAGTCTACAGTTACCTGAAGGCATCATGAGATGAGGCTGTATGTCAGAAGACCCTCCGTTTGCGTTCCGCTCCCTGCAGCACACAAGAGAGCACGTTTGCCATGGTGCAGATAACATGCGCCTAAGATTAAACTTCAGTTAAGCACTGTGCATTTTACAGATAAGTCGAGATTCAGCCTGGGCATTGATTTTCAGCGTAATTGTATCTGGAGAAAGCCTCGAACACAATGCCATCCCTCCCTCATCAGAGATTTGGAGCTGTAATGGTTTGGACAGGCATTATGTTGGAGAGCCGCAGAACACTGCACGCGCTTGAGAAAGGCACCCTAATGACTATGATGTATAGAAAGAGCATCTTAGAGACATATGTTCGAGTTTTCAGAGATGCCGTTAGTCCTGGGTTCCTGTTTATGGACAGCAAAGCTCCTCCGTATGAGGCTAAGTGGTCGATGATCACCTAAAAAGTGAGGATATTCGCTGCATGGATTGGCCAGCCAGAATTCCTGACCCTAAACCTAAGGAAATTTCATCTCGCCCTTTCTCTCCGAGAACCATCTCGCACTCGAAAACTGCTCTTTGCTACAAGAGCGGGATCAACTGCCTTCTCCTGCCCAGTATGCCGTCTTGCTGAGAGACATGTCTGGCACTGAGAGGGGACCATACCCCATATTAGAAACATTTTCAATTCGATATCAGAACATGGATTTTGGACATCTCTCCATTGTGAGCTTTACTGATAACCAAACGTAAATAAAAGCACTTTTATAAGTAGTACATCTCTTTTCCTATTATAAATGTATATTCATACCAAATTTCATTAAAATTTGTCCATTAGTTTTTCAGAAATTCGACATAATGTGAAAACTCTTTTACGTTTGCAGACGATTGTATATTTCCCATTCGCATAGAATAATATTCAAGAAACAACCCTTATGAATGGTAAGAAAAATAATGCCTTACATTAAACTAAATAATGGGCAACCTCAGTTAATCGAGGCTCTACAGTAATTACCCGTCATAATGGTATTGAATTTTTAATAGTTAATTAAAAGCTCTCAGAAATTTTGAAAGCCTTTAATTAACTCAGTAATTAATTACGATATTCTTAACGTTATACTCCTTTTAAAAATCTGTCAATGGATAATACATTAATATAATTAAAACTCCTACGAAAATACACAGCTATAGGGAAATATTCCAATAGCCTCATCAGTTTCTCAGTCATCTTTTAATGGTTAAATAACGAGAGTAGGAAATTGCAATATTCATGTTTTAAATTATTTCCAAATTTCAGATTGAATGATATAAAGAATACGGTATGTGATAAATTGCTTAATACTTATGAAAGATTATCGTCCTTCTATTTATTAATAAATTATTTTGAAATTAGCACTTTAATTTATTCATTACTTTAATAATCTAAAATTTCTTACATAAGAGTTATATATTCTGTCCAGATTTACTAAACCAAACCGTTACACGTGTGACGGTTTGCGAATGGAAAAAGATTTGTATATTATTATTGAGAGCAAAAAGATCCTTGTGTCCAAATGATGCATAGTTTTATTCGGTACACTTGCTAAATAGCCAATACTTAAAGTTAAAAATATCGGGGCAACTCATATGTGTTACCTATATCAATTCAGGGACATGAAAAATAATCATAAAAACAATTTTTTGACATAATTTCTAAAATGTGAAGACGCAATATCATTTCAAGCTTCGCAAATGCTCTAATTAATAGCATGATCCAAGCTGATTAAGATTAACAAATATTGAAGCCAATGCATAGCCCACCCGTAGCTTCCTGTATTTTTTGTCTGCTTAGTAACTTAGTAATTAGTAAAGCCAACGTGATGTTTCACGGAAGTATAACACTATTTCAAGAATGTTTGGGAATTATGTAAGTCTAGATCTCATCAATAATCAATAAATTTATCTATTCATCCATTTTTTCATTAGAAAAATTTATGTTCTGAATAACTATGGTACATTAGTAGCATTACGTTTTGATTTAAAGTATGTGTTATCAGTGTATTTATTTCAATCAAATAATGCAATAATCAGTTTTGCTCTATTGTATTTTTTGTATTAATTTTATGATGTCAAAATAATACAGCAGTGAAAGGTCTTACGTTTGAAAGGAGAGGTTAAGGGTACTCTATATTACAAAGTATCAATAAAAGGTAGGCTAGAAAGAAAGGATTTTGAACCACTGCTCTGGACTTACGTATTATCGGATATCCACACATTTCTTGTTAGGTATATGAATATAATTATAGTAATTCGCAATCCAGACAAATTAACTGACTTTGTCGAATGCTTAGTTTTTAATTACTTAGCATTTAAAATATTTGGTAACCAGAAAATATTTCATGTGTTAGTATTCGAGATAAATATAATTGAAATATCAAAGCTGTGAAAAATTTCAAGGTGGCTGAATCTACGCGTTCTTTTAAGTAATAAGAATAAAATTTGCGTCAGAGTATAATAAAATGATAACACAGGAAATCTATAAAATATTGTAAATAAGGAAGGACGTTAATACTTTTCATATCACATTATAATATTAAATATTCTATTGCATTATCAGTGATACAAAAATAATTCCTTCGTCTTAGTTATTGGTTGCAAGAAATTTTAATAAAATAGCGGCCTTTTGAACAAAGTTTTCTTTGTTGGTTTTAATTATATTATTTATTACCACTGGAAAAATATTTTTATATCTCTCATCCTAAAAAACTCCTAATAAAAATTTTCCATTTAAAAAGCACCTAAGCTGCTGTTTATAAATATTACCATTGTTGTTACTCATATCCCTCGAACATTCCTGTTTAAAAATAATAAAAAGGAATGACACTGCAGTTATCAGAATTTAGTTATAGATAGAACAACAAAACGACCGTAAAATGTAAGAGTATTTCCCTTAGTTGTTGATAAAAATGTATATTAAGAAATAAGAATAGTAATTCTACCAGACGCATATTATTTAAACTTATAGTTAAAAACACAGTTTTGTCTTAAACGATATAAATTTGTAATTAATTCTCGCAAAACATTTGTAAGCTATTGTTTTGTCAAAAGGCGCAAACTCCCGATCAAAAACAATGAAGGTTACTATAAAAGCATTAAAGTAAACTGATAAATGGAATCTCTTTCTAAGCGAAGGTAACTTTAGATCTTTTACAAGACATTTTTAAAATATTAAACATGCTGTTTTTATTATGTTATTTTATACTGGCTCTAGAGCAAGTAATTTATATCTTTAATCTGCATTATGTACAATAATAAAAAAAAGTACTAAAGAATTAACTATTAAGCAATATGATAAATATAGAAAATATAATTTAAAATGGAATGTTATAAAATGTACATTGAATAATTTTACTTCCTTCTACGAAGTAAAGGAAGTATGGTAATGGCGAAAAATTTCAGGTATCGTATTTCAACTGAAATACACATTTTCACTGCTCTCGATTCCATTTGAAGATATTTTTGCGTTACATCTGTACG